ACTAACCAATCTTATATCAGGTTCGACATATCCAACTTTGAATTTGTATTTTATGCAAGTTTGGAAGATCCAAAACTGGTTAACAGTGAATGAATCTAGCCAAGATGAAGTTATCAGAAACATGATGGTCCTAATGAAAGAGAGGTTTGATAAGTATTGGGTAGAAGTAAGTGATATCTTTGCAATCGCTACGGTATTTGATCCGAGGTTGAAGCTAACACTTGCAGAATATTGTTTTGCAAAACTAGATATCAGTACTCGTGAGAAAAGAATGAAACATTTGCGTGCTCAACTACGTAAACTTTTTGAAGTTTATGAGAACAAGTCCAATGCGGTATCACCTACAACTGAGTCTCGTGAAGATGTTACACATGATGATGAAGCTGCAAAAGGGAATTTTAGCAATTATGATGTAAGTTTCTTATGTTTTGTTTTGTTTAAGATTGTTATTAGTAAAATTGCAGGTTTTTGTTAGTTAATATGCAGTTTTTTTATGAAAAACAGCAAGTCATTAGTTTTTATGTTATGTTATTTTGATTTCTTATCTTTGTTATAGGATTTTTTTGCTTTTCGCAAAGCAAATGTTGTTGCCAATAGAAAGTTGACGTTGGATATGTACTTGGATGAATCGGCAATGAACGTAAAAGGGTTTGAGAGTTTAGATATTCTCTATTATTGGAAAGATAACGGTCCACTGTTTGGAAAATTGGCTTCCATGGCTTGTGATATTCTAAGCATTCCTATTACAACTGTTGCGTCTGAATCATCGTTTAGCATCGGAACTCGAGTTCTAAGCAAGTATAGAAGTCGTCTTTCACCGAGAAATGTTCAAGCATTAATATGCAGTCGCAATTGGTTAAAAGGTTTTGAATCTTATGAAAATGGTAAGTAAGTTGTTTTCATAAGTTTTATAGTCACACAATCTTAGTCTATGAATTAACATTGTTAGTTTGTGTGATATTTGTAGAGGAGTATGAAAAATTTGATGTTGAAGATGAGACTCTACCTTCCTTCCAGTCGCTTGTGGATGATGTAGATGGATGTTGAGTTGCAGATTTTATTTTAAGTTTGATATTCATGTTTGGATTTGAGTTTAAGTTCATGTTTCAGTTATCATGTTTGCGTTTAAGATGTTGCAGGTTTTTCTCTTGACTTAAGTTCATTTTCTGTTTCACATTAGAGTTTAACTTGTTACAATTATGTTTCAGTCTTGACTTTTGTTTTAGTTTGGATCTGTTTTTATGATCCTTTGTTCTACGTATCTTTCATTAAGTCTACATTGATTTTAAGATTTGAATATGAGTTTAAATTCAGATTAAGGTTTACAAATGAGTTGCAAGATGAGACACGACATTGTTCCTTTTGGGATATTTGGATTTGAGTTTAAGTTAAGGTTCTGTTAGAGTTTGAAACTTTAGTTCAGATTTTTGTTTGTCTTTGAGATGTTATAGGTTTTTCTCTTCGACTTAAGTTCTTTTATTCAGACTTATGTTTAAGATTTATGTTTCAGTTTGGTTACAATTAATGTTTCAGTTTGGTTCTGTTTCACTTATGTCTTTAATTGAGTTTGCATTCAGTTTTGATTTAAATATGAGTTGCACGTTCTATTCTTAGCTTGAGTTTAGTTTCAGTTTTGAATTGAGTTTAGCTAGTTATGTACTTATGTTTGGTTTGAGGATTGATATTTGTTCTACGTATTGAGTTTGAATTTCAGATTTGAATATGAGTTGCAGGTTCTCTTTTTAGCATTAGTTTAGTTTCACTTCAGTATTTTTGTTTAGTTGGTTATGTAGTTATGTTTTGTTTCACTCTTATATACTTAAGTACTTATGTTTGGTTTCAGTTTAAGTAAATGAAAAAGTGTTTCAGTTAACTGTAGTTATGTTTAAGTACTTATGTTTGGTTTCAGTTTAAATAAATGTCATCGTTTGAGTTAAAGGAGATGTCAAATGTAAGTATGTAACTAGATGTTTTAATCAATGATTCACAATTCAGAACTTGTAAAAAAGGTAACTCATAAAAGGCATTGTACCATATTAGTTTGTACATTGTTATACATGTATAAAAGGTTTGAATCAAACTTCTTTAGACATTATTGTATTCAATGATTCATCTTTTAAACAAGTGAATAGAAATGCCCGCGGGCAGACCCGTATATCCGCTGGCTTTGCAGGCTGGGCTTGGACACTGATATTTTTGCCCGCGGTCCTAAACGGGCCGACCGCCGCGGCCCGAAAAAGAAAGCCCACTGCGGGGCCGGCAAGATGGGCGCGGGCCGACCCGTCTGCCACCTCTAACAGGGTCCCTTACGGCAGTCGACCCTGCAATCGAGTATATCAGTCATTTCTGTGACTTTTTACTGTTTTTTGCATCAACACTAGGACTGTTAGATAACCAATCAAATTCTGCTTGGCTTGATTTAGCAACTTCTGATCATATCTCATCTGTCTACATCACACCCTTTTGGATTGACACCTAAAATACTACAACGATAGGATAGTATTTTAGGATTAATTGACCGTAAAAACCTACTATCATATAGAAGAAATCACAGAGAACTCACATGAACCTGGTATGTGGCTAGTTTTATACCAACCAAGTGATGAAGTTGAAATATTTTTATCATCAGTATTCGAGGCATTTTATTTTTACCAGTAACACAAACGTGAATTTGTCTTGGAGTTGACATCTAGTTAACTACTGTGGTCTGTACAATGTTTTAACACATGCTGCCTTTTAAGTATAGATCAAAATGCTCGTGGTTCAAATGAAGTTGGACATGTAAACGCAGAGAAATGTGATGGCCCTAACTATATGTTTTGACAATTTTCTTTCCATAGATGTCAAGGTGACAATTCTCTTGGCATATATTTGACTCCCTTTTTCATATATGCCTGCGGGCCGGCTTGTCTAACCGCTGGGCTTTGCGGGGCGGGTTAGGGCTCGTTTTTCAAGACCGCGGTCGTCGGCCGGCAGGTCCGTCGCGAATCAGAAGAGGAATCAGGCACATTGCGGATGGCCCGTTTGGGCGCAGGCCGGCCCGTCTGACATCTGGTGGAGAAGCAAAAGAGATGGATTTCTTATCTTTTGGTGGGATGCATGGGGAACATTAAGTTTTGGTGGTGAACCCCACGTCTGTTTTCTTGTCTTTAAACACGGTTCCCTGTTGACTAGAAAAGTCTCAGAACATTCCGCAATCCCCTGTAAACTTGATTAAGCCTCTGTAAGTCTCTATAGATTTTGTTGGTCGAGTATAATGTTGAATTTTTGGATCAAAACAACATCATACTCAAATTCATCCTCTAGTCACCATATAGCTTCTGTTGGTCAAGTATAGTGATGATTTTTAAAAACATTAGGTCCAAAATCATCACATATACTCGACCACATTTCCTCATTAGCATGTGGCTTCGGGTGATAAAGTGACATGTTGAAACTTCAAAATCTTGAGAGTGAAACCCACTTTATACTCGATTACATAGATACACTTGCTCCTTGCAAGATGTGGTCGAGTGTTCTGTTGCACACTCAGAGGTAAAACCCACTTCACTTAACTCTTTATACTTATCTCCTGAAAATACTAACAAAATGCATCAAAGACAACAAGGAAAAAATAAAGATATATACATTGATAGACATAGGATTTCCTCCCAAGTGAGTTTGTTTTAAATCTCTACCTTGAGTACTCACACTTATTAGGCAGGGAAAGTGTGACAGAAAGGACTTAAGAAGTCCTTTTCTTCATCGAGCTTATCATCATTCTCATTATCCTCCATTGATAGCTGCGCAACTGAGTACTGAATTCATTTTTCCTCTAAGTAGGCTGCTTCCTCATCTGGTAGATAGTCTACTTCAAACCAAACTGAAGGGACATCAACGTTGAGCCGAGGTTAATCTCCTCCTTGAATTTGACTTAGTGTGTCAAGGTCTCCTTGAACTCCTATCAGCAAATCAAGGTTAGGTCACAAGGCATATACTGAAGGAATCCAAGCTTCTTTACCATAGAGAGTGGCATTAAGCTGACTGAAGCTCCAAGATCACATAGATAATTGTTGAAAGCTAAATGCATGATAGAGCATGGCAGAGTGAAGGATCCAGAATCTTCCAACTTTTCTTGAACAATTTTTTCACGAGCAGCTTGAAACAGAGTGGCATCATATTCATCATCTGAATCGTGATACCTCTTGATCCTTTCTAGTATTAAATTTATCACGTCTTTGTGAGGGTCTTGAATCAGCTCGAAAACTTATATTAATGACATCACTGCTTTGATCCCATTGAGTTGTTCCTATACAAGAGATTCATACTTCTCTATCCAAGCTTTCCTGAACTTCCTTAGAAGAACAAGTGGAGGTAATGGAGTTGGCTTGGATCGTTTTACCATTCTCTCAATGATGGCTACTTTCTCTTCTAAGGTAGACAGAATTTGATGGCGAGATCCAGCTGAATGGTCAAGTTCAATAACTAAGACTTCAATCCGATTCGAAACCTGCCCTTCCTGAGCTTCGTTTTCCTCAGTGATTGAGTTAGAGGCATGACGAATGGGTAGCTCTCGATCTTGGCAGATAGTGATGGCGTGAGCTATGGAGGGTAGACTTGTTCCTGCGAGTTTGCAACATTGCTACTTCTGTAAAACATATTAGGATTGTTCTACTTGAAGTTGTTGAAACCTTTGTTGTAGCCTCCCTGATTTTGCACATAACTAACTTCTTCTTATTGGAGAGTCTCCCCATCCTGGACTTGAAATGTCTCATCTTCAATGAGAAAATGGACTTGCTTCTATTGCACAATGATTAGCTTATCCAGCTTGTCATTTCTAGCTTTCATATCCATGCGGTGCTTCATTATAGTTGCCATCAGACTAAGCTAAGTTCTCTACCATCTCTCATCCTTCTTCAACGTCTTTGTTCAGGAAATTTCCGTTGGATGTTGTATCAAGGAGCATCTTGATCTTAGGAAGAACGCCTCTGTAGAGAGTACTTAGGTGTGATGCCTTAGAGAAACCATGATGAGGACGTTGCGTCTGATATCCCTTGAAGCGCTCCCATGCTTCACAGAAAGTCTCAACATTTTTCTGGGTGAAACCAAAAATCTCATACCGGAGTCTTGCAGTCCTGGAGTTTGAGAAGAATTTAGCAAAGAAGGCTTTCTTGCAATCATTTGAGCCTTGAGGAATCGACTTTTCCCACTGATGAGCTTTGTCTCCTAGAGAAAATGGAAACAATCTAAGCTTGAAGCCATCCTCATTGCCTCCATTGATCTTTGTTAGGCTGCAGAGCCTATCAAACTCGTCTAGGTGGTCGAGTGGATTCTTCATGGGAGGTCGTGAAACTTGTTGCCATGAACCATGCCATTACGGTGATTGTGGTTGCATGGTGCATCGCCTGCACCAATGTTGGTTGGTAATTCTGGGTTCTGGTCATCAGCCATAGCGTTTGTGTTTAACTGTTCCCTTAATTCAAGAGCAATACGGTTCATGTTATCGTTAAAAAGGAGGTTCTGATGCCCTTGCGATCGAGTTTGCATGCACTGAGCAACAACCATACGTTAGCACGGTCCAGAGGAAATTGAGTAAAGCTAGTGATTCGCAAAACCTGGATCAAATCAGACAAACAAAAAAAACACAGAGTTAGTAACGTTGAATAAAAACGAAAAAGAACTGGATCTTAAATATTCTGAAATCTCCAATATAGCAAACAAGCACCCAAATGGCAACGACACAAAATTGATAATAGGTTTTTAAGATCAATTAATCCTTAAACACTATCGTGTCGTTGTAGTATTTTAGGTGTAAATCCACTTTAGGTGTGATGCAAACAGATGAGATGTGATCGGAAGCCACTAAGTCAAGTCAAGCAATAGCAGGTTTTGGAGTTTTTAGCAGTCCTAAGTGAACATGCAGAAAATAGAAATTCAAACAGAATTACACAAAACACTCGGCCACAACTGGTTGAAGCCAGTAGCAGGGACTGGTCCAGTGACTGGTCGAGTAACAGACAGTAATTATAACAACTATAATCGACCGCACAATCTACTGCCACACATTGGGTGTGGTCGAGTAAGTTGGTGATAATAGGTAGAAAATGTGAAAACTAAGCAACACAAAAAAAAATGGTTAAACAATAGCAATGAAATAGAGAAATCAAATGGACGAGAAATTCTTAAGGATGAGGTAATCAAATGGAGTGGTCTCCTTAGCCTGCTCAGATGGTTAACAAAGCGCAATCAAGCTATCCCTACACAACAGGTTCAACAACATATTAATTCACTATCGTGATAGAAACCCTCAAGCAAAGCTAGCACAAACTAATTCCCATTAACAGAATCTAACTATGCAAGCAATACGATTCAACCTATTACAGTCAATAAACGCTCTAAACGGCCAATCCCTTGGGATAGAGACGAAAACCTCTCGATCTAGTGGATCAAGCATTTATCGAACACCTTCTGGGTGCGGGAGTGCTTTGGATCGAATTCCAATTTATCAGAGAGAAATAAGCCTTAAACACAACTAATCCAGAAGGGATTCAATCAATTCTAAAACTTAACCATCCTATAGACTACAGATCAACCAACCATTCTATCCTATCCTTCAAAATTCTAAGTCACTATTCAGATTACATGCTCAAAAACATAATTGCCAATAAACAAGTAGACTGCATATATAAAGAGATAAAGAGTAGAGAAACTAGGTGCTAAACAAAATCAAATGCGGAATCCGAATAACATGGAAAATCTCGAATTACGAGTTTGTGGAGCAAACAGCGCAATGATAAAATAAACTAGGTAAAATAGAAATCAAAAGTGAAGCAAAACCTAAATGTTTTGGGACAAAATCCTTGAAGACTTATTTATACAAAACAAAGTAAACCGATAAGGGATAGGCCAGGAATCTAATCGATCGGGGTCGAGTGTTGTGATCGAGTGTTATGATCGAGTGACAGTTCGTGTGATGATCGAGTGGTATGGCAAGGTGTTACTCGACCTCGTGGTCGAGTGGTGTCATCGAGTGGCCTAGACTGAGGTACTCGACCACGAGGTCGAGTAAATGTGAAGAAAGGCTCTCTATGCAGGGACTCGCCAATTCCAGTTGCTATAACAATTATTCCATCAAGTAAACACAACTACGGAAGGTCGTTCTTGAGAATTGTCCAAGTAGGAGCCGTTTGTAATTCTTTGAGTTCTAGAGGGCCTTCTAGATACCAAGGGTACACTGTACAAGGACCCCACATCCACTACCCATTCTCGGGTTGCCAAAGACGGGATGTAGATCAAAGAAGCTGTTTCCGAGATAATACGAACCATGATGGCACCATAAATTCCTCGTATAAGATTAAGATCATTGAAGATATTTGAAGCCGGTGGACAAAGGCCCTGAAATTGGGCTATAAGATGGCCTTTCCACATCTCTGCTGTCTTCAGTAATACAGAGGGTGGCGCAACAACAACAGGGGTACCATCATCGAGAAAGGTTGGGCTGGACATTTGCTTAAGGTTTTAGCAACGAGTCCTTAAATTTCTTCGCCCATGGAAGGGTAGCAGAAGTGTGAGGAGGATTGTTAACCGGAAGAGGAGTGGCAGTGGCACCAAAATTAGTGGGAAAGCTTGATCCAGTGTTAGCAGGATTTTTCAGGAGAGTTGTATCCACCGCAGCAGAGGAATTCTTAGATATTGTGGTAGGCTCAGAGGGTATGGACGAAGGTACAGCGTGGCTCAGGCCAGAGGTATCGATAGGCATTGACGCCCCCACGTTAGGTGATAGGGTGGAATAGCCCTTTGCCTCGACCAAACGAGGATTAGGGACCAAATCAGACTCTTTGACGATAGTGAAGGAGTTCTCAGACATTGTTGCCAAATCGGAGGAGCTTTCGCCAGAAACATAATGTTTTATCGAAGAGAGCTTGTCGTCGAAGGGGATAACGGCAAGTAAAGGAGTCTTTAAAGATTCGTCACTAAAGAGAAATTTAACAATTCTAGGAATAGGGGAAGAGGTTCCCAGCGTTTCAACCGGAAGAGAATCAAAAATAGCAATCGAAGAGGGATTCCCAATAGTAGATCGGACTTCCACAGGTGGATGAGAACAAGTGTGAGAACCAGTGTGGACGGAAAGGTGGGAACTGGCTACCAGTCGGACAAACTTCGAGTTCCCAGGCAAAGGCCCTTTCGGTCGAGACCTAACCTCTAATAAATTGCCTTTGTAGAGAGAGAAAACTGACCTTGTTCTACTTCATGATATTTAAATGGCTAATGACTGGCTTCTTCATTATTTATGTTTGATTGAACTTTTCAGGTGAAGTAAATGGATCGTCCCAAAAAGAGCAATTCAAAGAAGAGGAAGCAGAATGACCAGACGGATGTGGAGCAAGAATATTTGGGTACTTTTGAACCAGCTCGGGACAACATGAAAATAGAGAATCAAGATAAGTCAAATGAGAAAGATAAAGAAGGTGAGAGTGAGGATCCTACTGCAAATGTTGAACTTCCTATAAATTGAATATGTAGATTGTGGTGATTGATATATCCTTATTTTAACTGATTTTATCTATGTTTTAGGTATAGGATCTTGAGTCTTTATGTTATTTCTCGAGTCTTTTTAGTGTCTTTTCAGGTATTCTATGCAGTGGGACAACAATGGAGATAAGGAGACATTTTGGAGCAAAAGCTAAGAAAAAGTAAGGTAAGGACGACTTTGGTTTCACGAATCAAGAGGAGTGTCGATCGACACCAGTTTCGGCCCAACAAAGTCCTATACGCTTTCAAGTTTACAGAAGAGGAAATTTGCCCTAGAAAACTTTCCTATTTACATTATTAGTCCCTAGACGTTTTTAGAGGGTCTATATACATTGTTTAGACCTAAGTTTTCATTATCAAGTTTTTTATCAAGCTTTTTGCAAACCCTGTTACTGAGAGACATAAGCTATTCATCGAGTGTTTTCAGAGATTGATTCAGTTCCTAATACAGTGAAGAGATCCCTTCTTTCCCTTAAATCTATTTGCCGTGTTTGTGTTTTCATACTCAATTATGTTGTTTCCTTCAATCAATATGTCTGAGTAATCTGCTTGTTAGGAATAGGGTTTCTCATTAGGGATTCATATAGTTTAGTAGATTGCCCCCTTTGCTAGGTTATCTGTAGAATTCTTCATCTTTAATTATGCTTAATGCTAGATCTAGAGTAATTAACTAGATCTTGCATCCAGACAATAGATATGCCCACCATAAGTATATGTAGTTGGATCTATTATTTGATGAGCCTGGTTTTTAGGTGTGTAATAAGAATCGGCCTATCTACTAAGGTGAACAAACGAACTCATTAAGAATGCATATTTAAGTTGATAATTTCTTGGCTTCTCCAATTATTCTTAGCTATAGATATAGGGAGTTAAGCGGAACGCCACTGTAACGCCCCCGGTCCGCGCTAGAACTCGGTCAGTCCGGCACGGCCCAGAGACGCCACAATGGAAATGAATTCCCATAGAGTAGCCGAGGTTCAGAAACACATTCCGACCCTTAGCCCACTCAAGGTTACCCATTTCCCCATTTGGGATCCATTTAGGTTTGCCAACCCTCACTTTACCAATTGTTGTGTCGACTCAGACAAATTCTTATCAGTTTGAAACCCGTATACTTTAAAATAAATACCGATTTCATTATCTTAGAGTTACGAAAATACAAGAAAAAACCACAACATAAACATCGTTTTTATGGCCAAGGCATGAGGCCCAAAAGTACACGATACAAAATTACATACTTTAAGTTTTACAAAAGGACACTGAAAAACTACTCCGGGTTCCCTAGTGTTCACCATTCCCTCTAATCCCCTCTAAGGTTACCTGCAAAACAAATAGAGTCATGAGTAATCTAGCATTACTCAATGAGCTCGGGTTTCCCAAGGAAATGTTAGTCTAATCCCCACCCATAATCCCACATGCATAACATAAATAATCAGAGTACACAAAGAAGGAAGTAAGCAACACACAACACAACAAGAAGATAACGTTTCTTAAAGTTTTAATTAGGGCCCGAATGCACTGCCTTCCTCAACATATCGTGAACACCCGAGTTATAACCACAAAGGCATATAACCGGAACATCACATTGGCTACACT